CCAGACAGGAAGGCCAACTGCCTGGATGATGTAGATTGCTATTTGGCAGAAAAAGATGAAGAAGAACACAAAGAAGCTGAAAGAGCTGTCAGACCTGCAGAAGAAAGAACACTGAGTGAAATTCAGGGACCACTGAGACAAATGCACCACATAAGTTACAAAAGCACTGTATGTAATCAGAGATTTACACTGAACCATCCTTCCAGCTGAAGGCTGCTCAAGGGGTAGGGATTACCACGTCAGCAAGAGGATTTACAACACAAGAGCTGTAGTATGCACATGGTATCACTCTGAATGTGGGACTGTACTTCTTTAACACTTGTAAACATAATCTGTAGGCTTTGTAAGATATTGCTTGCAAATGTTCTCTTAAAATATAGTAAGCAGGACCATCTGAATGACTAGTATTGGATAGCAGCTGTAAATTTATTTCTCCCCGACATGCAGAACATGGAAACTTCATAACCGCTGGAAAACATATTTGGGAGATAAATTTGTGGGTGGGTCTTTTAAGTTTTTCATTACCCATTACAGAGTACCTTTCAGCTATCTCAATGTCTGTTTTGACAGGCTCATAGATTTTAAGGCCAGAGGGAATCATTTCTACCACCTAGTTTGAGCTCCTCACTATGAACACAAGACATCACTCTCTCCCAACCTCCACCACATACTCCGAACAGCCTTTTTGGAGGAAACATACTGGTCTAAACACAGGGGCGGGCAAAATATGGCCCACCACCCAATTTTATTCAGCCCACAGGTAGGTGGCACAGGTGATAGCATCATGCAGCAGGCCCTGGGCAAGCTGCACTCAGGTCCCCAACTCTGCTGGCAGGTGATATGGGTGGCAGCTCTGGCTCCAGCCTCTGCTGATGCTGTGGGGGGCGGTGGGCAGAAGTAATCCTGCCCGCCCACCCAACACTAGACACAGTGTCAGCAGAGGCAGGAGCCGGACCTGCCACCTGCACCAGCCACCAGCTTGGGTGGGGGCCTGAGCACAGCTTGCCCAGGGTCTGCCACACAAGTGGGCAGAACTGCTTCTGCCCAGTGTCTCCCCACAACATTTGGGAGATGAAGTCCAGCCCCACAGGCCCTGGGCACTACCCACCAGCAGAGGCCAGGGACGGAGCATGGCTCACCCAGGGCCTGTGGGGCTGGACTGAATTTCCCCAGGCGCCAAGGAGGATTCTGGGTAGAAGTAGCCCTGCCCACTTGGCAGGCCCTGGGCAAGCTACGCTTAGGCCTTGCGGCTTCAGCTGCCATGCAGTGCTACACGGGCAGGACTGCCTCCACCCAGCAGCCACCAGGGCCAGAGTGCAGCTCGGCCAGCCCCTGCCTGTCGTGGATGGAGCCTGGCCACGGGCCTCTGCATTGTCCTTCCCTGCCCTGCCATCAGGGCTCCTGGGAGCCTCAGGGTGAGGGTGGATGTGCGCACTGATGGTGGGGCAGTGCAGAGGCCTGTGGCCAGGCTCCTTCCCCCGCCCCTCTAGCTGCAGATGTAGCTGGCAGGTGCTGACTTTGGATGGGAGGGGTAGCCTGGGGAGCATGCGTGCATGTGCAGCTGGCAACAGCTCACCAAAGCTTGTTAAATGGCCCTCCAGCCCAAATAACTGCCCATGCCTGGTCTAACGTAAGGCAAAGGCAAAGATATTATGAACAGATAAAATGCAATTCTTCCCAGTATAGGATGTAATCCCCCAGTAAACTGGAAAATGGTACTTGCCTGAAAGCCTTGTAGATTGGCCGATACCAACAAAGAAAGGCACAGGGGGTGAACAAAATAAACCACAAGATCGAGAGACCGAAGTCTACTCCTCTAGAGTCTACCTCGACTGTGAACCATGCCAGGCAAGCGAGCAGGTTTAGAAGCAGAGTAACTGAGTGAACTGTTTAGGATGGGAGAAAGAGAAGAAATGAGATTAGCAAGTTCTTGGAAAACTCACAAAGGCATCACAAACAAAACACCACCCCCTCCTCAAGGAACAACACAAATAATATGCTTGGTAGCAAGTGGGAAGCACCTAAGTCACAATTTCTGAATTTCCCTTCCCTATCAAGAACCATTTGCAGGAAGATGAGTCTTGGTTGAAGAGCTGCATGTGATCCTGCTGCTTAATGCTTTCATTTCAAATCTTCACCTTTTTTTTTGCACTACGTAATTGGTTCTGGAAGGCCCCATCCCCACCTCTCCTTTAGTTTAATGAAGTTTCCACTTCTAACCACATTTCCTCTATTCCTGAAAGATGATAAACACGACAATAAGATAGTAATAGGCTCAGGTGGGCTGCCAAAAATATAACAAGCAGGAAGTTTCAATGCCCTGGCAAATCACACTTGGAAGATGATGAGATTTGAAGGGAGGTTTACAATCAAAGAATAACTGATAAATAGATAAGCAAAAGGGGTAAAAAGGGATACACCTGCATTATCATCTGTGTAAGAACTAAAAATTGGTTTTCTTACATAATCATTAAAACATGATTGGTATCGAGAATTATTCAACATGTAACAAAGGTGTAAAAACATAACTATTCTACCACACTTTGGACATACAAACCTTTGTGCACTTCCCCTCTGCAAGCCAGTCTAATCTGCTGGCTGACAATAATTAAAGACTCTCTAGTTCTGCTAACTGTTGTTTCTTTAAGTTTAATAAGTACTACATGCAGCAAACCAAGAACAAAGCCAAACTATGACAGGCTGAAGCCCAGCCAACTCAGCCACTTACAACAATAAATACTACTAGAGAAGTATTGCTTGAATTATATTAAGTGTTAAATATTTACCACTTCTTCAGATTCTCAAGTTTTATATTGAAGATGGGCTATTTATAGTTATCTAATCTAATCTTCTGCATAATGCATGCTACAGAATTTCACCTAGCATTTCCTCCAGCACACTTAGGATCTTCCATTGGACAGTCTTTTAAATGGGACTTTAAAAGACAGAGAAGCATAGCTAGACATGGCATCTACATCAGAGATCAGTCTAGGGAGCTACTATAGAAAAGTCAGCATTTGATTAAGTAACTTCTTAGAAGCCTCAACAATTTCTCCCTCTAGCTCAACATCATTTCCCCCAACTCTCCCAGTCATAGACTGCTACTTACGCATCCACAAGTAATATAGCATCTTGCATGTTCGCTGGTAATCTGCTGGGATGTCTACAGGGAAATCCTGATAGAAACATGGCTTGATTGGACACCTCCTGGGTAAAGGTGGCCAATTGTTTTGTCTTGCTGTGAAAAATGGACAAGGAGAGATTCCTTTAAGAAGGTGCCTATTGTTGAGAGACTCACTAAAAGTATCATCACTTGTAAACAGGCAGATTAATAATCAATACAGACTGGGATGGAAACTGCAGGATACTGTAGAATCCAGACTCTGGCAAGTAACTAAGTTTGAACAGTCTCTACCTTAAAGGGACCCTGGACAGACTGACACTACTAGGAACAGGTTATTTTAGACGCTGCAGATTGGAGAGCTAAAATGTATCAGAAACAGCTTCCTGGGGCCTGTCTGAGTCCGGGAACTGCTTCAGTGGGGATTAAGGTCCACCACAAATCTCACCCACCTTCCACTCAAGATGGAGTACACACTTCTTTGATCTGCCTTCTTTAAGTCACAGCAGCAAGCATAGAGAAAAACCCAATCAAAAACCTACTCTACTGCATGCATGCTTCTCATTCTGGGAAGGGTCATGATAAGAAAAATCATGAGGCACATGTGACAGACATGAGTCATGCTGCTTATTTAATGTTGCAAGTTAAGAAATCAAGTTAGGAAATGCCAGAATCAAGGGTGCCTGGTGCCTATACATAACACCAGTCCTCAACATCACCACATACGATTTTTCTATGGGATGACTGTTCCTTTTAGAGCATGGGATGGACAGTACCCTGCAAATATAAATGTTAAGAATGGAACTGGACTGCTGCTTGGAGCAGCTGTGTCTCACTGGTGAAAGACTGGTATACAATTAAAGAGGTAGGAGTGCACAGAAAAAGAAAGCGTGGTCCCAGGGATAAAGCAGCTGAATGTCATGCTGGAAAAATAAATTTTATTCCAGCATCTGCCATGGAGTTTCTAGATCAGGAGCAGCCAGTGTGCTACAAGTGGCATGGACAGCCTCTGTGTGTGAGTGAGAGTGAGAGTTATGCAGGAGACAGAGGAGGGGCAAGGCAGCAGAGCAGCAGATAAGGCAAGAAGCAGACAGCAGAGCAGGCAGTGGAAAGGGATTGGAGCAGCACTCGGGGAGAGTGTAGGGCTAATTTGTGACACGCCTGCCAAAAAGGTTGGTCCCCTCTGGTCTAGATAATGCTAGTCTAGTCTCAAACTTCTCACAGTTGGCAGTTAATTGCGGGTTTCTCATTGTCAGGCTGTATAACCTGAGGCAACTAGAGCCAGATTTGGAGAAGTGCTGTTTGCTCCCACCTAGATATGAAGCCACCTGGAGACATGTTTTGAATGTACCATATTGTCTCGTATACCATACACCCCCAAATAAGGCATGCACCTTGTTTTTGGAAGGAAGAAGGTAGACAAAAAGATTTTTCTAGACTCGTGGCCAAGAGATGACTGGAGCAGTAGTTCACTTGCATGCAGCCAGCTCAACAACATTTCAGAAAGCTACAGCATTAATCCTTCCTCAGCCGCTGCCAAATTGGCAACAGCTTTTGACTGCTAGCCAAATACTACGGTCAACTCAGTAGCAGCTGTGAGAGGGTTATCACTGGACTCTGCCCCTACTGTTTCCTAGCCCAGAGAGAAACAGCAGTCATTTTGGCGGCCATTACATCACAGCCTCTCCATGCTTCTATTCCAGAGAAGAAAATCAGCTTTCCTTCTTACGATACACGCTCTGATTTTGGAGGGCTGATTTCTGGAGAAAAGGTGGGTATGGTATGTAAATATATGCAGTAAACGTGTGCTATAATGTTACATTCTCCAGAAAGCAGGTGCTGTAGATCAGGAAGGGCACCCAAAATTGGACAAAGTTTCTTAACTGTAAGATGAGGAGACCATCACCTCATCCTTGTCCCCTCCCAAGGGGATGTGTGAAAAAAAATTAATGTTTGTGAAGCACTTGGATACTAAACCAAGGACACTGCAGAGACTCCCAAAAAGAAATAATTCTACATTTAATTCAGGACTTGGATGCCATGCATTGAATAAAGGCAATAAATGAGAACAGTTATGCACTAAATGAGGCAGATGTAATGCTGAAAGAGTAGTATGTGATTGGATAATTAAAGATCATCATAATGCATACATGAAGACAGCTGACGTGGCATAGAAGCCTTCTGCCTTTTCATGGCTTCATTTGAGTGTTTGACTTTGCAACCTTAGACCTCCAAGGTAAGTCGCCATCAATGTTCAGATCTGCAGGGTACATCTCTAACATTTGAGCTAACAAAGTAACAGCAGTAGACTCAGACTTCCTATATCAGGATTCAGCACCCTTTTGCCAACACAGACCCTAGCTTGCAACCTAGCAGCTACCATGGGTGCCACCATTCCCCTCCAGCTGCTCCAGTGATAGTGAGCAAAGGCAGCAGCAGAGAAGAGCACCCCTCCATGTGGCCTGCAGAAGCTGGCTGTAGTAGCTGCAAACCACATCAAATGGTTGGGGAAATCAGCATGCCCTTAGTAAAATGTGGACCAGATCAGACCCTTGCAGGCCAGATCCAATCCATGTTCAGGCCAGATCTGGCCTGTGGGCCACATGTTGCTGACTCCTGCTCTGTATGAAATAGTCACTAGATGGTGGCAAGGTATGCTCAGCCAACAGGTTTCACAATTATATGCCGGCAGCAGAAGTGCCAACTTGGGACTCCAGGGCTCAATTCTAGGTTCTGGAGGAGTTGTCTCCAACCCCATTTGCCCCTCTGTTCTCAGCCTGCCATCCTCTATCTGCCCTTCACTGTCTACTGGGTTCCTCCTCTGGGTGCCTCATGCTTGATACAGATGAAATCTTCAGAGAATTTAGCTGCCCAGCTAACAAGTCTTAGTATGTGCTGACATTTTTCAGGGGCTCATGAATCAGCCACATTTTAACAAGTTTCTGTATGGGGAAGGCAAAAAGTAACCTGCTGACACCAGTGAGAATCTTTCATATGAAATTTCAAGTTGCTGCCCCAAATCACGAAGCCAAGACAGTTGAACAGGACAGCTATACAAATTCCATTGTACTTGGGCAAAACAACGCATTTTCCCCCACTCTTCTCCATTTCAGTTGAAATAAGTCAGCTGGTTCTGACTTCCTAAAAGACTCAGCCTGAGGCACACCATCAGGATGGAAAATGTCAGGCCCAACAGTTCATTTGGCAAACATCTAAGAAACTGAACAGAGGGTCTTGTGATGGAAAGCGTCAGGCATTAGATGAAATTGCCAAGCCTATTTCAAATAGCTTCATCCAGGCAAGTGCATAAAGAAGTCAGTACATGTAGGACAAAAACAGGGGAGAGGGTCAACATGGTCTAGTGGTAGGACTGAAATGGTGTCATTACTCCATTAAACAAGTTGGCATAATGAAAGATGCCGATTTAACAAGGGCCGTAACAGATCCATGGCAGGTACTTTCATTGTCCTCTCCTCACAGGACAGAAATCAACTAAAATTGTAGAATATGCCCCCCCATCAGCTGTGACAGAAGTTTCTCCAACAGACTCAAAACAAACACAATATAACTCATGTCTAATGCTGTACAGAATGTCAACAATGGAGATGCTCCAGCAAAGCCATGTTAAAAAAAAAAAAAAAAAAAAAAAAAAAAAAAAAAAAAAAAAAAAAAAAAAAAAAAAAAAAAAAAAAAAAAAAAAAAAAAAAAAAAAAAAAAAAAAAAAAAAAAAAAAAAAAAAAAAAAAAAAAAAAAAAAAAAAAAAAAAAAAAAAAAAAAAAAAAAAAAAAAAAAAAAAAAAAAAAAAAAAAAAAAAAAAAAAAAAAAAAAAAAAAAAAAAAAAAAAAAAAAAAAATGGAGCATAAAAATGGATACTTCAAAATTGGATGAAACACCACTCACGGTTAAAAGCTGCTGTATTACTCTGCAACTCCCGCTCCTTCCTGTCCAGCTCTGCTGCTTTCCTCTCCAGCTCAGCCTGCTGCTGGAGGAGTTCAGCTTGTGCTGCTGAGGCAACGGCCTACATGGAGAGTGAATCAATCAATCACGAAAATCAAATCAGCACACATTTGGTGGCGGAGACAGGATTCCTTCCAAGTGGAAGTGAAGACTAGGTACTCAAAAACACTAATCAGTATTTCAACAAAGGCAGAGGACACTAGAAGCAAAGCATTCATGGGTACCTGAGATACCCTACAGGTCCCCACCTCCACCACTGGGATGATAGCAAAAGCTTTCAGTAAAACTCCCAGCAGCTACCTGTTCATCCCCAAGCCCTTCCCCTCCAGGGTGACGTCACATCCTACCTGGCAGGTTGTTCTACTTTCTCGTTAGACTTATTACTTAAGTGTTTTGAACTAGTTCACCCACCTTTTCCTTTTTGTTGCCCTCAAATTAACTAGGGAGAGACACTGCCACAGCCCATGGCTTGCATGTCAGTGCCTTGCAGGCTCTTCTAGACTAATACTCTCTTCCCTGCATCACTATCTCCTTCAACTAGATTAAATTTACTTACTCTGTTTTCTTCAACCGTCTCTGGATGCATCTACACAAGACACTAAAAGTGCAGTAGACCAATTCTATCGCACATTAGCAAAAACTGTGCTAATGCACAAAAGAATTAGTCTACTGTGCATTAGCATCATTTAAAAGATGTGCACCAGCACTACTGCACAGTAGTGCCAATTACCACACATTTAGTACCTGTTATTACAGGTACTAAACTTAATGTGCTGTAGTTACGGCACATTAAATGTACGTGTAGACAGGCCCTCTATAAGCCTATTGGCTTTGGGTTTAACAGAGCAGAATAGGGATACTCAAATCTTTTTCAGCTGACACGTATGCGGTGCCTTTAGAAATGTGTTGCTAGTCTCCATTCAGTCCCTGGTTGACAAGTGTGCCTACTACAACCCTCCTTCCCCAGTTGGGCACATTCTGAGAGGCCAAGGGCTGAATGAGCTGTGTAGATGGTCTTACTCCCAGAAAGCTGGGGAATGCTTGCCCTTCTGGTATTCATGCCATGGTTAGAGCACTATAGAGCTGCTGGAAATTTTCATCAGCATCAAGATTACATAAAAGAAAAGCCAAGACGAGATCCCTTTCCCATCCTCAAAATCGTTCCTTTAAGAGCCTCCCTTACCCACTTTAGATCCTTCCCAATTCAGCAATAATTTAGTTTAGTGATCAGGAGCCCCAGACTGCATGGCATGTAAGTGAACTAGTAGCTAAGAGGGAAGGGGTTAAGTGTAATGAAGAGGCCCTTACAACAAAAGGTAATCAAGAATGGGGCTCTGGAGTTTAAACCTCTCTTTTCTGTACCTCCCTACCTTGCTGCAGATCTCTTTTACCTGGTGGCTATTCTGAGAACTGAAGCCTTCTCCTAGCAGTCTCTGTCTCTCTGAATGCTCATTTGCTGACGTGAACTTGGGAGTCAGGTACTTGCTGGCCTGTCTAAGCAGCAGCTGCAACATATAACTACATTGTGTTTACACCCACCAAACCTAGCACACGCGTTCCATTGCAGAAACTAAGTTACCCACATCAATGGGATAAGCTGTGGGCAGCATTGTGCAAGAGAGCCAGTCAGGATGGGATAGAGCATAGTTGTGATAGCAGAGGTTTCTACATTTCCCCCTTCTCTAAATTAATGTTCTTAAGTAGCAATCCCACGGGCAATCCAATAAATACAGATGAGAGCAAAACTCATCAGCTGCAGGCTCCCGCACCCCGCCCAAATAAATCCTGCCCCAACTTCCGATCCTTAGAGATCTAAATTTTGCCAATGTCTTGTACGATATGCTAAGATTCATTTGTTTTCCTGAAAGGCTCTGCTATGAAAAGGTCAGGGTCCAAGCTCACTACACACTCAATCATGTGGTGGTGGTTGGGGTACAGTACCTGTGGAGTGGGTTCTACAGATGGCTGCAGGACAGCGGGCTGCGAAGTGCTGGAGGGCTGTGTGGCTGGAACTGTCTGGGCTGTACTTGTCTAGATGAAAGAACAGAAGAGCATTACATGCACTGCTTCAACCAACCTAGGGCACTACCGGTTTTTGCAATGACCAGACACCAAAAATGCCTCCAGTGAGGACTGTTCCCATTGCAGGCTAGGCCTGCACTTTCAGGAACATGAGAAACCATCTTGCCTTTAAGTATCTGTGTGTTTTTGAAATCTTTCAGTTTCTCACCACCATGGACCTATGTATGGAAATACAGAGAACAACATTTTTTAAGCATTAAGCACCGTCATAGGACAGATAAGCTTGGGCTCCGGTCACTTGTTTAAACCGTGACTTTTTTCTTTTTTGTTCCCCTCATCCCACAATGTCTATCACAACAGCTAGGAATGCAAGACGGAGGTCATACTGGAGCTGGTCAGTAGTCCTAACTACCCAGCAAGTACTGATCTCTCAGCAGCATTCCTACTCCCAAAATAGAAGCTGACCAGACACATGTGTCTTGGCATCAAGTCTCTTATACTTCACACTTCGGGATTCCTGTGCTTTGGCTGCAAGCTCCTGCTGAGGCTGGCAGCAACTTCTCATGAGAAGCTGTTTATTCTGAGTGCAGAACTCCTACAGTGAGATCACTACTCAAGGAGATCCAGTCTCAGAGTCTCTTGTGAAAAGCCTATTGCAGGTGTGATAGGCCACTGTCCATTGGGGACAGATCTGTGAACGTATCATTAATTTTTTAGCTCCATCTATCAAGAGACACAATTGTGGTATATAACTATTTAGCATGACTGCTTGACACACATACCAGCCGGGAGTTCTCAGAGAAGGGATTGAATTCATCCAGGCCACCTTGGTTGGCATTTGTCAGCTGTGTCACTGAGGGATCCTGAAAGAGGAAATGGAAGAAGGGTTCGGGTTCAAGACAAATTCTTAGAGAATATTTTTTCTGTATGATCTCAGCACACAGATCAGTAAATGTGTGCGCCTTACCACAGTCTACACTGCCTTGAATAATTTCTTCCTCAGCCCAAAGTCTTTGTCTGCCCCATATGCAAACTGCAGTAACTAGTACTTATTATGAACCAACAATGTCCTAGGGCAGCAGTTCCCAACCTTTTTGTACAAGTGATCTCAAGTGCCAGAATCACACTTTTGTAGGGCTTGCAGTTGCAACTCCACTTATAAGTGCTGCAACCCCTTGCTTGATGAACAATTGTCCTTAAGACTGGATTTCATCTGCTCTGAAGTCTGAAGAGTCAAGAATCAGGCCCACATGCACTCACACGAATCTCAAGAATTAGCATCCCTGATGGTGGAGCAGTGTTTATTTAATTCAGTGCAGGGCCTTGTCAAAAATACCTCAGTGCCCAGCCATCCTTGGTCTTGCAGCCATTGGGACAGGGAAAAAAGCTGAAGTATTTTTCTCTGTACACAAAAACTCCAATCAGCTATGTAGCTACCTGTCTGATTTTCTTTCCAGCAGGCATTCCAGATCCTTGCCTGTGAGTATCCCACTTTTTCAGGAATTGAGTCATCTAGATTAGGCAGTGCAAAAACTCTGCAGAGAGATCTTTTCATTGACATGATCATTGGGAGGATTTTTTGTCTTTTATTTGCTAAGCTTAACACAACCAATGACTGCTTAGCATTCCCTGTAATACCACTGAATGCATACCCGGTTTTTTTCATCTAGAACACATTTTCCCCAGTTTACAGAGAATGAAACTAGCACATGGAGGGATTAATTCATCTAAAACCACAAGGGAACAGAACCCAAGTTCCTTCTCAACTCTGAATTTCACCAACTAGACAACAGCTATGACTGAGCCTTGATTGAGTGCTGCAGAGTGGCTGAAAAGATTTTCAGGCAAAACATCACACTAGCTGAGAGATGCAAGCTGGCATAACTTGCTTTCAGTTGGCCCTCCACATGGCCAGACTAGAACCACAGCCAACCAGGCTTATATGAGGTATAAAACAAAAGACTAAGAAGGCGAGGCTGAGTTTTCAAGTTAACTGCTCACTCTATTGTGCTTGCAGGTTTAAAAACCCTGGTTTCTGCTGGAATGTCAGTTTCTTTATTCATCAAAATGGCTGTTCCTCCACATAACCTTAATAACACACGAGGGAGAAAGAAAGATGTTAATTTTACTGGTTATGTTACGCCATTTGTCTGAATGTTATACAATGTAGAGCTGTATTTTGTTAACAGCTCTCCCTCTGATAGCCTCAAATTAGAATCATAGGAATGGAAGGGGTCTCAAAGAACATGTAAGCCCAGTTGGTGCCTGGTGTCTATCTTTTCTCAGTCACTGGTAGGATGATGTGCTTTATGTCCAGGCCTGAATTTCCATGTGATTTTACTTCTGAAGCTCTCCTGAAAGAAGGTGCTTTCTCATTTCCAACAACAACAAAAAAATGCCTCTGCTCATCCATTATTTTTTTGAGATTAATGGGTCAAAAAGTAATTGCCAAGGCTAGGCCAGGGAGGAGATGGTGAGGAATTTAGGTGTGTGAAGGCTGCTCAAGTTTCTAGTTTGCCAAACATCGTAATAGCAGGATTATAAAGCCCAGAAAAGTCAACTGGTTTGTCTCAGACATACTACAGCTCTATCCCTGATTTATGATTACAGCTTTCTGATCACCTACATATAAAACTGTTTAATGAATAACTTCAGATATCCCCCGGAGATCAGACACACCCTGCCTAACACGTTGCACAAGCTTATGAATCACTCCAGGATGAAGAATTTCAAAAAGGTACAGGTTCCTAGATGCTAGATATGAGAAGTGCATTTACTAGGCACAAAAGAAAGAGGACCCTGCGCCAACTTGTGCACTTCCAGTTTGCACTGGGAATCCTTTACCACCAAAGAAGTCCAGGTTCTTCATCAACGATGTCATCCAAAGGCTGAATCAGGCATATGCTATAGCAGTACAAACAACAGCTTATTCTGGCAAGCTGGATGCCATGCCATCTTCAGGGGATATGACTATGAAATCCTAGAGCATTAAAGAGGGTGGAGAAGGAGCCTAACGCATTAAAAGGGAAAAGACTGCAAAAAACAAAACAAAACAAAAACATCCCCCAGCATTAACCCCTGAAGCACCATCTCACCAAATATGTGGGCAATCAGTTCTACCCCCTTTTGTGGATTATCCCGGTAATGAACTAAAACTAACAACATTCTGGACAATTTTCATATGCAGAAAGAAAGAAATTTTGCAGCGTTTTTTCCTTCCTACAGCCTTCCTCTCTCACCTCTGCAAGAAACAGCAACAGGTTAGTTTTTCCTGCCCCTTCAATGTGAAAAGGGACACAGAGTGTTAACATCAGCTGCAACAGCACTAACCTGCCAGTCAGAAGGGAGGGTGGCTTTGAGATGACTGCTTTGTATCTGGGTATATTAGGAGCTGTGTAGCATTTAAGGGGAAGGATGACCTCTTTAATGTCATTCCACTGTTTTCCCCCCAAACTGCACCTTAACTGATGCTACTGGACCCAGGCAGCTTAATTTGCTACTAAACTTTGACTTGCATGCTATTTCAGAAACCTGTTTAGTAAGTATGGACATGAAGAGCTGGACAATTCAAAATTAATGGAAAAATGTCTGGGGGACAGGTTGCTGGTGACTGGAGGGAAGCTATTCCATAGGGACTCACAACACTGAAGACACAGGCTTGTAAAAGCCAAATCACCTGGCAGAAAAGAACGTCTACATTTCTCAAACTTGAATTTGCCAGAATTTTTGAAAAGCTACTCATAGGTTTTACATAAGATTTTTTCAATTGGCAAAAAACATAAGAGTTTGAATAGAGTTTCTCTTCTTGAAGTGCAAGAATGTGTCACTGTTAAAGCACAGTGTTAGCCGTGTTAGTATGGTCAGACAGAAGGCATGGTTGAAATCCACCAAATAAACTAACTGAAGTAAGAAAACCTAGCAGACTTGCATGGAAAAACATCATGAGGAGATCTGCACATCTATGGCTCTGATATGCCTCACTAAGCACAATTTTAGGTAATCAAACTTTGACTACTTTGCAGTCTGCAAGCCTAAAATGGACTTGCTCTTCAATCAAAAACATATTGACAGATTAAAAAAGATTTATATGCAGTGAAGAGAAATTAAAAGCCTCACTTGTGTTTGCTTTCAAAGGCAGCATATCTCACATGCAAACAGAAAGCTAAGTTTATTGGAGGGTTTGCGGCTAGAAATGTATCATAGTTTCATAGTTGATAGGGTCAGAAAAGACCCGAGCAGATCATCAAGTCCAATCCCCTGCCATGGGTAGGAAAGAATGCTGGGGTCAAATTACCCTGGCAAGGTGATTGTCTAGCCTCCTTTTGAAGACCCCCCAAGGTAGAAGCGAGCACTGGGTGTACCAGATTTGTGCAAAATGATCAACTTTTTTTCTGACATAATGGAGTTGGAAACTGCAACATGCAATAGTATTATGAAGGTAATACAATACATTAGGTTCTGAGACTAAGGCAGAAGAGCTCAAGTCAGAACTGTCTGGCAGTTAAACACACACAGAACAAATAGTGTGAAGGTCCAGTATAGACAAAACCCTGCTCGTGTTGATACTGTGCAATACAATGCACAAATATATGACCATACGCATACACTTTGGTTAGTCTATAGGTGCAAATCTTCTCTACCTTCCACTGCGCAATGAGGTCAGTCCCAATCTTTGGCTTGCTGTTCTGGATCTTAATTGATTTTGAAACCTAACTGAAATGTTCAAGTCTTACTGTTTGTGCCCCTAACAATGATATGGTCATGTTGGAATGATGCTGTACTAATGATGATCCAGGAAATATGAGGCGAGTATTTTTTTTTGGATGGTACTGTTCACTGGACCAGACCAGAAGAAGGATCCTTTGTGCCTGCAAGTTTGTCTAAAATCTCTCCCACCTATGCAGTTTCTCCAATAAAAGATATAAAAAAATCTTTACTTCCCTAACAATGATAGGAACTTCAAGCTTGAAATAAGATATTTTAGAAGCATCTGCCATGTATGCTAAATTGCTGGGGCACTGAAGGGAATTAGCAAAAACTGTCTGGCTGCCAACTATTTAGAATATACTGCAAAAAACAGAAACAGACGCATTTTTATGGAGATCAAAACAAGCACTTGTGTGTGGGCATTATGTGTTTCATGGTGAGCTTAATCAATACTGTGAATAAAATGTCTTTTCAAGGGCATCTCTAGCTGTTTCAGGATTTGTAAAAGCACAATGTTGGAACTCGCAGAGAAAACAAACAGCTCTGATCCTTGTGCCTAAAACTTACTTCTTTGGGATGACCAAAACAAAACAAAAAAAAGCATAATCCTGTCATAAACCAATGATTTTTAGTGCCTCGGCACATTGGAATTTTCCTGCCACAAGGAGCTTTCTTTGCATGGTGGATTTCTCAGCTGCAGAGAGAAAACCCCAGTGCAAAAGAGTTCCCACCACACGTATGCAAATTAGTGTCCCACTATTGGTCAATTCTAAATTATTCCTACGTGGCGGCTAGCAATTGGCTCGCTAGCCGTACAAAAGGTTAGAGCAGTTTCCGCCCAAGTTGGAGGACTCCACAACCATCTCCTGGGGAACTCTGAGCGCGCTGTGGAGCCTAGCAAACTCCGCGTGTGTCTTCGAGGAGGACAGAGGCCTGATCAACACTTAGCCACTCCCCGTCATAGTGGAAATTTGATATATCCCCCGTGTAAAGCGCTCGTGGAGTTGTACATTGACGACTCATATTGGTTCGGTGCGGTTCGGAAGAGATCTCACTTGTGTGTGTTTGTGTGCAACTGCAACTCAAGCAAGTTTCCTCCCTGCACTGTGACCATCAGCAGTGTAAGTAAAGCTTTCTTTGTAAAACCAATACGCTTCCGTGCCTAACTCTACTCCGTCGTGGAAAAACCCCACACGACGGTCCGGGCTACTGGCCATAGCCTTAGACTGACCCTCGGTCCCGACAATTCCTAGGTCTTCTGAAGCAAAACTTCACAAAACGTGGTACCAAATGTCTGAAGCTGCTACTAGGCAATGGCAGCAACCATATATCCGATTTAATTTTTTTTAATCGTTACGTCAGCTTGTGGATTCAGAGTGCTAAAAAACTGGGCTCATTACATCAGACTGCCAGACTAGATGGGTGCTGTTCTGCAGGACCAGACCTAGATTTCAGTTGCATGATGTCTACAGAGACCAAATATTAACTTTTTTCTTTTAATTCAAAGTTAATTATGTAGATCTTCTAACCATCTCAGACTGCAGGTGGCAACAGGATTTTTATTTAAATTAAAGCAAGGACAAAGCAAAAACATAAAACCAAGTGAAAGTTGCATGCTCAAGGAACAAGAAAGTCAAAGAAAACCCCCAAACAGAATGTCCGCAGAAATGTGAAGTATTAAGTGCAGAATGCAAAGAAATGATATTAGATAACCCTATCTGTGACTGTGAGGCTATTTATGCTGTTTCATCAGATCTGGAAAAAGAAGTTATGTTGATGAGAGCTGGGGAAGGCTGCAGGCAGAAAATTCAAACCAACACAAGTGCGAAACTATTTTCCTTAAGCCAGCAAAGCTTTTTGTCCAGCATTGGAAGCAAGTGACTTAATTCTTTGCTACTGTCACATGGCACGGACTTAAAATTAAGAAAAGCTCATTCTCTTATCAGACAACTCAATCTTAAGGCTTGGCTGCCAATGGACAAGCAAACAGGATCTCCAATGCCCTCTAGCCACACCCTGAGCCTATTGATTGGAGTACATATGGGCTTCAAATTACACTAATCAAGTAAAATAGTTACTCGTCCCACCCTCCCTGACAGGAGCCTTACAATGAATGAATAAAAATCCCATTGGAAAAACCAGACAAGTGAAGATATCTTTGTTGGCAGCGAGAGAAGGAATGTTAGAATTTATTCAGCATTTTTCTGTTCAGGACAAACATCCAACACACATGCACGCACCTTTCATTTCCTATTCTGACCTGTTTTTCAAGGATCATTTAAAAAAAGGGCCCACAGAAGATCATCATACTAGAGTTACTTGGTACTACATTACATTTAATCTTTTTGTCTGAACAATGAGTAACATGCAAGCGCAGCCCTGGTTGGCGAGATCCAGTGGCAGCATTAGTATGCACAAACTAACAGACTATTTGCATATTTAAGTCACAAATTACGAGAGATATTTGTAAACTACTAGGGCCCCTGGCAGATGTTATATTTATCACATGACTAACACATTAATCGTGCAATTAATTACAACATGACATATGTTCAAGCAATTTATCACCCAAGTAAAATGTCAAAAGAGCCTCAAAAATGGTGAATGAGCTCCAAAGATGTTACCTGTTAAATGTAGAACATCTTTAAAGTCTGATATGCATGAGCTATAATTCAAATGTGTGGCATGTTACAAATCAGGTAACAGTGCTTTCTTGGGTCTTCAGGCATCCCAGGGTACACTGCTCCCTCTCTTCACCCTCCAACCCGGCTGTCAAACACAGCTTGCAGCTGCCTGCAGGGAGAGGGTATACTCTCTACTTGCTCACCTGCTGGCCAATCAGGGCTGTGCTCGCAGCCCTAGCTACTGTCACTAGTCAGGGATCAGTGAGTCAAGATGACCCTGGTCTTGTGCAAGAGGAATGCCTCTAAGCCCTTGCAGAGAACCAGTGTGGAAGGAGGGCCTTTCCCCTGGACCTTGACCCCTCTCCCAGGGGCACTTCTGGGATCCCATGCTGCAGACAGGCTCCTTAAAGCTCCTGGAACCTATAGCCCAGGATCTGGGAGTGAGGGTCCAAGATCCAAGACTGCAGGCATGCTGGGAATGCTACAGAGCATGCAGCCAGGGATCCTGGAGCACGTGGCATTGGTGCTCAGAGATGTTGAGCTATAGGAGCACCAGGACCTTTAAGGAGCTCACCAGCAACCCAAGATCCCAGAATACCAGACTGCAGTCTTCCAAGAGCCTAAGCTGCAGGCAGCGCTAGACCTTTAAAGGGCTCACAAGCCTTTACATGAACTTTTAGGGTGACTCCCTTGGGTGCAGAGAGCTATGGAGCATCATCTCTCTATCGCCTTCTGTCTGGATAGCATGCCTTCTGTCACACTCCAGCCAGGGAATGTGTGACAGTGTGGCTCCCCATAGCTCTTTTTATTTATTTATTTTTTTGTCATGCAACCAACTTTATAGCTTGACAAAAATTATGTCTGCACAGGGACCTAGAGGTGCCAAAGAAAGGTGACAAAAATCTAAACTAATGAGCTTTTAGTTCTCAAACATCCCAGGCAGCATTTCTGTTTTGCATTTCAGGCACTTCACTTGATACTCAAGTGATATTTTTCTTATCAATGTTTTATAACGAGGATCACAATGTGTTGATATTAAGATTGGAATGATTGCTACCTTAACAGACTGCAATATCATAAAAAAATCACCACAAGGTAAGACGATACACACCAAGCAGCAGTTTCCAACACCAATGTGTTTCTGAAATGTGAAGTATTAAGTGCTGATCTTCCCACCTACAGACAGCTTATTCAAGCTTAAAGGGCTATTCCAGGAATAACCTACCAACACCCTAGATCAGTAAATGCATTTTAAGGCAGCAGACATGGATAGGAGTTCAGAAGAGAAGGAATCCAGGGAGTGCAAGTAGATTCCTGTTTACTTTAGAAAGAAACCCCCTCCTTTGAGCTACCGGAAAACAAATTTCTGCTAGGCTCACCATTTAATTCCGTAGGCTGAGCTCCCCTACAGCATTTAGCACTGCACACACAAACACAGACTGAGAAGCAAACCAGTAGTCTCTGCATTCCTCTGTACCTAGGGCCTGGTCTAAATCAATTTTGCATTTTTCATGAAAATCATTAAATTAAATGATTTTTTATGAAAAATGTGATTTGGGTGTGCTTGGAGCAGTGGGGAGGAGAGAAGCTGGTGCCCCACAGCAGGCTGAGGAGAGATCTGCCCTTGAGCAGTGCCCTGGGTGCAGAGGCCCTGGCTAGGTTGCAGCTGCAGCACACCATGGAAGGAGTGGAGCAGCTAGGGGCTGTGGCATCACAGCTCCTGCATTGTAGAGGGGCATTGGGCAGGCATTCATCTGCAGGGCCGCTCTCTCAGGCATGGCTGAAACCACCTCTCCATGTGCCCGCAGTGGGGGCTCCTCATTCCACAGTGGGAATCATAACCCAGTGCCTTCTGCAACTGCTTCCCCCCAAGCAGGCTGAAGTTCCCAACAAGGCTTCGCCACTTCCTCCCACGCTCCTCCCCTACCCACGCTGTGCTGGAACCAAAGGGAGGGGCTTCACATTTGACCCCTGTGCTTAAAAGCTCGTGTTGCAGTCCCGTGGGGCTCTGGCTTCTTGGGTTTCTGCAGAGCACCTCCCTCCCCTTGCACCGCAAGCATCACAAAAATGGCAGCACCCAATTAGCGAGCTGGGCCCATGACTCAAACCAGGTCCTATCTATATCGTATCTATATCATAGTATGGGAGCGCCACTGACCCTTCCTATAGCCTCCTGTATGCTTTGTTGCAGTAAATGACCCAGGTCATTAATACCAGACATTCCCACTCACTTGTCACTGTGAGATACGCAGACAGAAACATACTATTAGAACTGGCAGCATGGTATGCACATTTACTATGCCCGTCACAGGACACTATTTATGGTGACCACATCAAACAGATAGCTGGGATTATGCTTGCTTTAGTTTTACACCCTTGACCCTGTTACAAGATGCACTGCACCATTCTCTCTCCAACGCCTATTCACTTACAAGCTCACTAGGGGCCCAATTCTCCACACACTTTGCACTGGTGCATGTACTGCAGGCTAGAAATGGTAAAAGTGAGGGGAGAATAACTTGCATGGTGCCCACACTGGGACTTAAGCAGTCACAAACCATATTTCCATGTGATGGCAGGTGACTGTAAGCAGGAGTACCTGACCGGTCACAGGCACCATGTGGCACAGCCAACTCATCAACCTAGAGATAAAAATAGCTACTCAAAAGATTTGGACCCTTGCCACATGAGTGACCACGATCATCCCTGAAGGACAGCAAGGCCACGAGAAGATAAAAGAGGAAGGAAGATCTTGCAGTTCACACCCTGGACTCCAGCTCAGCTTCCAGTGCGATCGTGGGCAAGTTTCACCAGCTCTTCCCTAGGCTGGCTCTGCTCAGGACTGATGCTGTGTGGCGGGAAGGCATCTCTTGCTGGCATATTGCTGCTGTGTGGCGCGGGGGTTCCCCTTACACGGCTTTACTCAGGCTCATGGGGGGGCTCCCAAACCGCTCGCACCCAAAGGAGAGAAGCCCGACGGAAGTCACACAGCATAGGAGAGCCGGGCGGCTCCTCAGCGCATCCCCCAGCACCGGCTCCGGGCCCAGGCTAGAGGCTCCCGCAGCCAGGCAGAGTCCGCGCTCTCCGCGGGGCGGCGGGGCCGCAGCAGCGCCCCCGCCCCCCGCAAACAGGATCGGGGCGCTCCGACTGCCCCTCCGTCCCGCCTCCCTCGCCCCTGATTGGACAGGCCGGGCCGGAGCGGCGCCGCCCTTGGCCGGCGGGCCCCCCCCCCGAAGCC